TAGCGCCCTAGTCTCAACTAAGTTCTCTCATGCATGCTTTGCTAGGGAGATATTCTTATTGATCAGCTAAGCATGGAATCCATGATTTAAACTTCACCTTAGTAAAAATTCGTTAGAGGAAATGTGACAACAATAACCATTTAACTACCCAAGTGATTAACGCCCAACCACAAGACAGAGGCATCATGCAAAGGAATTGAACTATCCACTACAATCCTAATCAGTGTCACACCTATCTTGACAGTACTATACAGAGTTGAAAGGAAAATGGAAGCTTCTTAGACACTATACCGTCTGCTATTGGCATAGGAGGCTACCTTTGTCTTCCTGAGATGTCGTGGCGGTTTTCTAGGTCTCTAGGGTGGTTTGACGATCTTGATGAGGCTTTATGCCTCCAGGCTTCTCAGATTCTTACTCTCTAAGTCAGGATTAATCAGGAACACTAGGGATTGATGGTGGTATTGTTATAACACATGTGGAAGCAATTTGAATTTTAGGCATTCTAAGTACATCAATTATAGTAAATTAGCTAGCATATTCATAAGCATTAAAACTCAAGAAGTTTGAATACTAACCTTTTGTAGTTCAAATTTTTTTTTCCTCACGAACCGGTTTCGAACCACCATTAGTGTTTTCCCTACTATTCTCCGGCCTTAGAACGGGATTGTGGAATCTGGTGAGTGACTAAACTTGGAATAGATTTAGTATATGTGGAGAGAGAGTTTGTGATATGAACCAAGGGACATCAATCATACAATATGGTTCAATGAAGATGTGAAGAAAATATTGTTGAAATTATCAAAAGATATTTCAATTCATGCCACATTGAAGAAGAATGAAGTTTCATGTGATAAATTTTGGGTGGATTACAATTTAGAGTAATTTAGAGTTATTGTATTTCATTAATGTATTTTACGATTTTTAATTTACTTTAGGTTACAATTAGTGGTTAATTAAGGCCATCAAGTATGAATGTTACTAACTCTTGGAATGCCTTTAGTAGTTTCATTTTGAGGCTATATAAAGCCATGTATGTTGTATTTGTAAGTAGACTTGAAAAATATAGTAAAAGAAGCACTTGTGCTTTTCTTTAGCCAATGGCTAAGTTTATTTGCAATTATATGTAGTTTAGGTTGCATGTAGAATCATTCAAGCTCGACATGATCAATCTTGCTTGTGGAGTGATTCGAATCTCAAACAAGTGTTTGAGATATTTGATCAACAAGAATCATTCAAGCTAAACATGATCGATCTTGCTTGTGGAGTGATTAGAATCTCAAACAATGTTCTTGCTTGTGGAGTGATTCGAATCTCAAACAAGTGTTTGAGATATTTGATCAACAAGAATCATTCAAACTAGACATGATCGATCTTACTTGTGGAGTGATTCGAATCTCAAACAATGTTCTTGCCTTGAGATATTGCCTTGAGATATTCGATCAATAAGATAATTCGAATCTTACTCCCCTTGTAGTGATTCCTTATCTTATCAATTTGTGAGGGATTTTTTTTTAGTTTTCACAAGCATACTTTACATGTACTTTGATCACTCTATTTATAGAGTCATATTTTTTTTTTTTAGTTTTCACAAGCATACTTTACATGTACTTTGATCACTCTATTTATAGAGTCATATTTGCAGGTTTATGCAAATTTGATATTACCAAATTTTGACACTCAAAATTCTACTCAAATTTGTGGAGTTTATTTGGCAAACATGCAACTTTGGTTAAACATAATTTTGACACTCAAAATTCCATTTTTTTCCTGATGTAAAGTCAACATTTTGAAATTCTTCATTTTAAATTCAACAATTAATTTAAATAATTAATTTCAAATTAAAGTAATATTATATGATTAATTAAACAATTTAATTAATTCAAATGTCAATCTCAATCAATTCCGACGCATTGATTAAAATATTTAAATCTTATTTAAATATCTTCGATTCTCTCTTTTTATTTAATTCGTAAATAAAACAAAATGTGGTTGAACATATCGTATATATTTAGCGTATTTCCTAATTCGAATTCGAATACTTCGAACTCACTCATCACACTGTTCTATGGTATAGTCCGATATGAGCTAGCAAAGGGACCTAATAGACCTATAGATCATGGGCTCCAACCATTCGATATTAACCGCTAAACTCATTAACCTTGTAACTACTAGGACACTCCACTATAGCCTAGTAGTTGCACTCCTCTCACTATAGCCAAGTAGTTGCACTCCCCTCACTATAGATAGTAAGTCGATCCTTCACAGGTTGTTCGTAACTAGAGATAGGTCAATTTACTGTTTTACCCCTGAAGTTACTTCTTGATCCTTATGTCCCACTGATCCTCTAATGAACAATTGGTTTGTGGTCCAACCAGTAATGAGTCCCTCTTAGGCCAATGAGAGGGTGGGACCCTTTGTTCAAAACCTGAAGTTAATACTTAAGGGAACAACCTCTCTACTATCCCTTAAAGTGGGTAGGGGTGAATTCCATCGTGCACCCTATGTCCCCAACTATTCACCCAGTCTTACCACCTAGTCTTACCGCCTAGTCTTACCACTGAAATGGGAGGCTTATTGAGTCGGCAAACTCGAGCCACTCTCACCCATGCAAATCTAAGGATAATTCTAAATAAACAGGAGTTCATGGTTATCTCAGGATTAAGATCAAATTACCTAGGTCATCGAATGAAAAAATAAGTCTCAACAGTAAACGACAATATAAAGTGAGAGTGATTTTCTTTATGGTCCGATCTTATGCAGTACCCATTGCATAGGACGTCCCCACTCACATGTATCCGCATGTACAATTTAGTGATCACATTGTTTATATCATATACAAAAGTGGACCGCATTCATAGTATCCCCAAGATAAGATACTCAGTCTTATCTGTGTACTATAGATCATTTTGACTATATACTTGAACTTGATCCACTCTTATGTCTCTACATATAGTTCAAGTAATCATACTATAGTCAGAGTGTTTTTAATTTATTGGATTTAGATTAATAATAATGGTAAGATTCACTTTATTTAATAACAATCTTTACTGAATCAACATCAATAATAACTTTATTGAAAATAGAATATGTTTTTGTTTACAAACTATGAGTTTTAGGACATAAAACCCACATGGGTCTCACCCTCTAATTGTCTCTCACGATTCTTCTGTGCTTAGACTTCTGGAGGTGCTCGAACCTAGGTCACAGTCTAGCCAAACTGGCATTCTCACCTTAGTCTTTAACGGTTTCTATTACTATCATCTATATGGAGAATCACACATTTAACATCTGTTGCTATTGTACAATCAATCATGCATACAATCATACATGCTCAATGGTGTGATATTATCCATCAAGCATTCGGAGTGCATATACACAAAATCTTATTCACCATTTCAACATAATTATATACAAGTAGTAAAACAAAAGTACAACACAACATACCTGGTACAATTCCATATATTTCAACTAGTGTGACTATTCTCACAATTATCAGTCTTCCTAGGCATCGGTTATACTGAGCCTCTTAGGGTTCATTTTATAATCTACATGCAATTCCAAGTAATCCTTACATGTATTACTCCTAGAATCCGTACTGTTGCTGGTTTGTCGTGAGCCTTCTGGTCTTCGAAAATTTCAAATTCCCTCGGGTGGGACATAATTCACATCCCAATAGGGTTAGTATTGGGATTAGGATGAAAAATTGACAAATGAGAGTCAAACAACATAAAATGGTAACTCATTCACCCTTCATTCGTTGGGAGAAGGTTTCACATGCACGTATCACATGCGGGCAGAGTTGCAATTGCAGGTCATAGGTCGGTGCACGAGTTGGGTCAGATTGTAGGACACGAATTGTAGGCACGAGTGTGGGTTCGAATTGTTGCAGGTCCTTAGGTCAGGTGAGGTTCGTGTCGCATGACGCTACTCAAGGGAGGATGTGTTTCCTGCGCAATGGTGTGATGTGTGTCCGCGACCAGTTGGGACGTGCTCCTATTTCCATTGGTCGATGCGCTTTCGGCCGCTGCTCGTCGATTACCCATACGTTGATTTTTCAAAATTTTCTTAGTTTTCACATTTAAGACCTATTTCTTTACATTTTCTTAACTCTCGATTCTTAACCCATAACGAATTACTTCCTTCACGAGAGTTGTAGGCCTCATATCTTGCAATTGAAAGTAACTTTTATATAATATTTAGCCAACCACGTACCTTAATAGACCCGTTGAAAGTTCTTAATAAATTCATTCTTCCCATAATTTGAGACGTCCTAAAAATCCAATTCCGACACGAATCTTAGTCGAGTTTCAACACGAAACTTGTAAGATTCTTATCCTAAGATTATCATATTTCAAAATTAGAACTTAATATCAACAACCTAAAGCCTAAATTCTTGCTAGACTAAGGTTTTAAATGATAATTTTCGCAAGTATATTGGTATAATTTCTAGATTTCAAGCCATTAGATCAAACAAAAAAGTATTACACGACAAAATGAGCTAATTAGGAAAGATCTCAAGGGATGAAGCCAAAAGAAGTAAATAAAGCTCAAAACTCATCGAGATAGCATCTCGATGCTATAAAGAGCATTTGAGATGCCCTAAATTAATTATTCAAGCCTATTTATCTGAGAGTCGGATATCGTTGAAATAAGATCCTTCTTTAAACCTCCTAACGCTACACCAAGTACTATTGTAAGTCCTATCAAACTCATGCGCATGTGCACATTCAAAACTTTTGAACTACTTATAATTCTTCTTATTTCAGTTGAATTGAGTGGACCTTTTCGGAGAGGAAAAACACCCATTTAGATTATACAAAATTTCATCGGTGTTGATGAAGGCTTTATGGGGTTTCAGCGAATTATTGAAAGAAGAAATAATCGCACATTGACTAATTAAGAGAAAGATCATAAATTTGTAAGTAAGAAACACTATCTCCCGTGGACAAGATCATATCATTATAGAGATCCGTAATTTCAAACATGAAAATCGGTAGCGGTAGAGAGGATAGACATGCAACAATATCAAATTAGAAAAAGTTTTAAATTCACAACACCAAATGGTTAAATTTAAGAGAAATCTTACATATGTAGTTAGAGAAGTGAAAAAAAAAACAAAAACAAAAGCCCACAAACACAAGCACTTGTCAGTATAATCCTTAGGTACACTTCAAACCACCACGTGAACACGACATCTTTCAAACCCAGCTCGTGAAGAGAGAGAGAGAGAGAGATTCCTGTTCTTGTTCTTCCTGTTCTTCCTGTTCTTCCTGTTCTTCATGTTCTTAGTTTCTGCTAAACAAAACCAGATTTCTTCTGAGAGCATCGAAATCTCAAAACAACATAAGAAACAAATCTGTAAATCAAAACAAACCCCATCATTACCATAACATTCCTCCACCTGCTTTCTTCCCCATACCCTTCTTCCTTCAGCACATCCTCTCCCCTCATCACACATTCCCCAAACATCATTTCCAGACACTTCCCCGACCTCGAAAACTCATTTATCAAAAACCCTTCAAATGGGTACTTAAACACTGATATATAATGCATAAATATCCAATACTTTGGTATCTCATGGTTCGATATGAAATACCCAGAAAACAGGAAGAACGAACCCATAACCCCTGATATCACCGAGTTCCCCACTATGAAATTCGGCACCAAAGCACTGAAACAAACCACCACTGAATTCGCCGTATACAGAATCAGCCATATTAGCACCATGAAATGGATAAACGCCATTACATTTCTGTTCAACCCCACCAGCCAATATAATGGTATTGAGAATAAAATGGCTAGGATTAGTAGAAATGGGATATACACCAACCCATTGGCTATGGCGTATGAGGATACTCTGTAGCTTCTGGAGGAGGTTTCTTTCATTAGAATCTCCCTTTCTTGTAAGAAAATAGGGAGGGCTTCGATTGATGTTGTTAATAGAAAGGTTAATATGAAAGCGAACAAACCCACGCGTTCTTCTGCACCCACTAAATCGAATTTGAGATTGTAAAAAATTGAACCCAGAACGAGGCCGGATATGAACATTTGAATTGTTCTGCAAGCGAAAAGCTCCTTTGTTCTTATGATGTTCTTGGAGAATCTGTGCATTAGGATGGCGGTTTCTTTGAATCTTGAATTGGCGAAATCGGGTGGGGTTATTTCGACTCTGTTCTTGATGGTGTCCTCGTCGATGACTTTGGATTGTTGAAAGAGCTGTTGGAGGGTGAATTTTGGGGATTTGAATTGGGATGGGGGGATTGTTTGGGTTTGAAGATTTGGGGTTTTTTTAATGGTTTCAATGGCTTCAATGGCGAATTCAACGATGTTGACATGGAGTGGAGGATGGAGAGCCATTAGAGTGAGGTTCAGAGCGAGCTGTTCAACAGAGCCATGGTGCAAAACAGAGCCATTGGAGAGAAGGAGAATGGAATCGAAAAGCTTCACGATTCTGAACCCAGGCTGGTGGATGCTGAGGACAATGGTTCTTCGCCGAGCTTCAGCCATGGTGGTTTTCAGCATGTCGATGATTTGAAAAGCGGAAGTGCTGTCGAGCCCAGAAGTGGGTTCGTCGAGAATTAGCACTTTGGGGTCGTGGATGACTTCCACGCCGATGGAGACTCGCCGTCTTTCGCCGCCGGAGATTCCCCGGAGTCTGTCATCGCCAACACGGGAATGGGCGACGTGGGTTAGTCCGAGTTCGTCGATTAGAGAGGTTACCTTGGCGGTGAGATCAGAAGAAGGGAGGGTGAGGCGGAGCTTGGCGGTGAAAGAGAGGGTTTCTTCGACGGTGAGGAGAGGGAAGAGGGTGTCGTTTTGAGGGACGTATCCGGACATTGTGTTGAAATGGGAAGGGTTGATGGGGTGGTGGTTTAGGAGGAGGGAACCGCCGTGTGGGGTGGTTTTGCTGGCGAGGATTTGGAGGAGGGTGGACTTTCCGGAGCCACTAGGGCCGACGATGGCGAGGATTTGGCCGGATTTGGCTTGGCAATTGACATCGGAAAGGACGTGGCGGTGGCGGATGGTGGGTTTGGCGGTGGAGAAGATGTTGAGGAATGGGGATTTGGGGTTATGGGTTTGGATCTTGTAGCAGATTGCTATGGCTTCTATTTCGCATCCTTCTTGTTCTTGTTCTTCTTGCTTCTTCATTTCAAGTTGTTGTTGTTGTTGTTCTGGTTCTGCTCTGGTTGGTTTCTCAGCTTCAGTGTTTCACAAATTAATAATGTTTTTTTTTTGTCTGTCTCTCTCTTTGTCAGCCTTGGCCTTGCATGTCTTGTTTAAATAATTATTTTGAGTCTTTTGTTTTCATTATTTTGTCTAATCTATTTTTATTCATTTAAATATTTTGAGGAGAACAAAATACTACTTATAAAGGATGTGGAAACCGACGCTTTAAAATCCTTAGTGGAAACAGGAAAGGGAAAGCACAATATCTGATATATGTGAACGATACTATTACAAATAGTATTAGAGCCAAGCCCTAGACCCTTGCTGGCATATCGCCTCATGTCTCTACCCCCAACGAGGAGGTTGAGCTCCGAAGGGGGTGGGCACGAGGTAATGTGTCAGCGAGAAGGTTGGGCCTCAAAGGGGGTGGATTGTGAGATCCCACGTCAGTTGGTGAGAAAACGAAATGCCTCAAAGGAGGTGGACATGAGGCGATATGTTAGGGAGGAGGTTGGGCCCCGAAAAGAGGTAGATTGTGAGATCCCATATTGATTGGCGAGGAGAACAAAACATCTTTTATAAGGGTGTGGAAACCTCTTCACGAGTTTTAAAAACCTTGATAAAAAGTCAAACAGGATAATATTTGCTAGCAGTTGACTTGAGTTATTACACAAATTATATCTATCATGTGATGTTTCAACGAGGAGGCAGCATTCTAGCACATACAAATGGTGACTAGATGTCGTCGACTGCACTTGTAGTGACTATACCAACAACTAACATAAACAAAGATTTTGAATAGGTTGTGAATAGACCGGGACACACACATCTTCTGTGCCAATTAGAGTCAAGTTAGACAATCCTAACTCCGAAGCAAATTAGGAGCAAAGGGGCCATTTTAAAAAAAAAAATGGTTATTATTACTATATGTATATATGCATTACATAACAACTCAAACTTATCGCTAGTAGATATTATCAGCCTTAGCTATTTTAAAACGTGTTTGCTAGAGAAAAAGTTTTCACACCCTCATAAGTAATGTTTCGTTTCCGTCTCCAACTGATGTGAGATCTCAAAATCCATCCTCTGGGGAGTCCAACATTCTCGTTGGCACATCTATAGGGAATGTTTCATTCCCCTCTCCAATCAATGTGACATCTTACAATTCACCCCCTTAGAGGTCCATTGTCCTTATTGGCACACCGTCCAATATCTGACTCTAAAACCATTTGTAAATTTCAAACTTGATTTTAAAACACATGGGTTCGTGAGAAGTTTTCATACCCTTATAAGGAATGTTTTGTTCTTCTTTCCAACTAATCACGCAATATCTAAACCATTGCATGGATAGAGTTAAGAGACGAAGTCATAGGATGACGATGATGTTTTAATGTTTTATTTTTTTGTCAGCAAATTCCTATTTTATTGAAATTATGTATAATGTAAACCGACAGTACTTTTCTAATAAAATTACGTACGGTCAATTTATTTTATTTAAAGGGTTACGGTTTCGTAACGTTTTTTTATTTTTAAATTATGAAACTTTGGTAATATTATTTTTGTAATATTTGATCTTTATTATAAATTATATTTGGAGTCAAACATTTATAACTTTATTAGATTTGGACCACAAATTTTTTATAAATTTTTTATTTTTATTTTTTATTTTTATTTTTTATGTAAATTTATGACATTTTTTTTATGTGTGGTGGAGAATTGATGCCTATTCAAAGAAAATGCAAAATTTTAAAGGAAATTAAATCAAATAAATGGGTAAATCATTTTGGTGAATGACAGCAAAAGAGAAGATTCTCATTAAGAACTTGCTTGGTTGTGCTCAAAAGTTGGCCCATTTTAATTTGTCCTTTGCCAGAAGTTTTAACGACACCTCGAGTAAAGGAGAAAGTACATGAATAAACCGAGACTACGTTCGAATGAAAGTTACCCTAATGATAAGATGATTAATAAAAGCTTAAAAGAACGAAAGTTGATCTACGTTGAGTGACCTTACGTAAAAGTGAGGTGTTACTTGAAGCATGTGAGTGAAAACAAATCATGCTGAAAGAACTCGTGTTAGTCTGTGAGGATATTTTTCACTCTTTGAATCCCGAGCATGAGACACTACAATTTCAATATTACTCATTAAACGTTACTCATTCACCGATTTGAAGCTTGGGCTAACAACGAGTCAATTAGAGGCAACTTTCTAATATCTCAAACCTTTTTTCAATTTCAACGTGCAACAACAACTCAAATCCACCACTAGATATTGTCATCTTTAGACTTTCCCTTTCCGGCTTTCCCTCAAGATTTTAAAACGTGTCTACTGGAAAGAGGTTTCCAAATGTTTAATGTTCCCTTAGTTTATTGGTTGAAAATTAGAGGCGGATCTTCGAGTTCAAGAGTTACGTCGGAATGTGATTAAAAAAATAGGTTGTGGGGAAGTCTAAAAGCACCCGTGAAGCCTTTGTGTTTGTGGACAGTGAGTACCCACAGCTCATTTATAAGCTATCAACTCTGTTCTTTTCCCCATTTTTAATATCATCTTCTAAGTCCGTGAACACTTCTTTTCCCTCCCCTCCAAATCTTGCCTAACTTTTTGTTCTATTCTATACTTTTTTTATTTATTTTATATTTAACCTATTTTTTTATTTATTTTAAAATTTTAAACGAACATCGTCGGTTAGATTTATGATTATTTTTGCGGATCTTTTAGGTTTTTTAGTTTGGCAATACGTGAACGATAAAAAGATTTGAATATATTACGTCTCTAGTTTAAGCAAATTAGAGACGTCACCATATGTGACTTCCATGACCGTTTTAACATTCAGTGTCATCTGGGTCGGGACACTTTACCTTTAACGGAAGGATAAAGGTAGTACGTGTCTTGATTATTTCAAGAAATACTCATCAAGTATCTCACTGTTCCGGGTAATAATGCAATCTCCGCAATCTCCGCACATCAAGGTAGTACTTTTTCTGAAGGTCTCGAGAAAGCTCCAATCAATAGGATTTTTTTAATCCTCCCCTCCCGAAAGGGAAAAGAAGAACGTGAAATTATTTTTCCTTTCTTCTGCACGGACCGGGAGATTTGAAAAATGATCTTAGAGTGTCTAGGGTTGGGCTAGGAGGGTTTTTAACGTCTTCTTTTTTCTTCTCATCGGAATTATTTCACAAAGACTTGTCATGGTAAAGAAGAAGGGAGAATAAGCACACTTGGAGAGCGCGACACAATGGAAAGTTGTATGCTGTGTTCAGGAAGGATGAATCGCTCCCGAAAAGGAATCTTTTGATTTTCTCCCGATTAATTGAACCGTAGGTGCGATGATTTATATCTTACTATGTCAAGTTATTGCTTAGATCTCCATTCTTATTCTTAGTCTTTTATTTTATTATTATTATTATTTAAAAGGAATGGTTAGTGGGTTGTTATGCTACATCCTAGGACCTAAATGAACACGAGGAAAAGAAGGTTTTAAGTTCAAAACCCACCGCGTTCATCCTTAGCCAAGCTAACACCGAGCATAGCTGTCACGACTCGATTGTCGAGATTTTAAATCTCAGACTGTGGCGAAAAAAAAAATACAAAAAGACCAAAAATTCATAAAGGGTTCACCCTCTAAGACGACCTCCTCTGTGATCACACACTGTCATGGTTGTACATATTCACAGTTTTACAAAAAATGGGTGTTGTGATCTTAACACGCTCCTGGTAAGCTTTGAGGGGAACCCAAGCCTCATATTCATTTTTCGTATGTCTTTGTAGCTTTGGCAAATGAACACAAGCCATGTACAATTCAAACTTGTTTGGCCACACACGTTGCCTGTGTGTGCATGTTCAATTTTCTGTGACCCAACCGACTGTCTTTCCAATAGCCCAAGTCATTCAGCTTAACCTTGCCTCTACTTAGGGCAAATGTCTCTCAACGCAACATCGCATCTCAATTTCCATCTTCGATCCTAATTGACACAACCATTATGTTTGGATGTCATCCCAAGTTCTGGGATGTCATCGGCTATTATAGCTCGCTCGTCATGCCCATAAAAAATGGACCCATGTGTCGGTTATAACATTGAGACATCTCAAACATCCATCCATCTGGGTTCTATCGAGATATTGAACCCTCTCGTGTATATGCTAGTTCATTTACAAAATTCGTTTCAGATAACGAGTACATAATCCAACCTCCGACACATTGGGGGGGGGGGGGGGGGGGG